AAACCCACCCATTGCCTTAAAACCCACAGTTGTAAAGTTTTTAAAAAATTTTTTTTTTTTTTTTTTTTTTTTTTACATTTTTGTTAAAACTGTCACCATGTTGTGATTGCATGAGACAGATATGAAAAGATCAATCTCCTCTACTTCCTCCCAGTGCTGCCATTGCAGTCTGAAGAGATGCACTGCTCCTGGTCAAAAACAACCAACCACAGCCAGGAGGAAGGTCTTGGTGCTGTTAATCAAGCGTCTGTATGTGCTACTAAATATGCTAATGGCAGAGAAACAACTTACCGTTCCAGGAAAACTTTTATCTGCTGTCATAGGCAATGCTAACTAGCCTGAGCATTTAGGGAGGGGTGTGAGTGGAGCATACATGAGGGTGATTGACGGTGCCAAAACTTTCCTCTTGGCTCTTTTTTATTTTTATTTTTTTCCTGATGGAGCAATGTATTTTTTCACATGACCGCATAGGCTAGAGGCAAAAGGGCTCTATCCTTTTTCACAGATTCTTTTATCAGCTGTCGCAACATAATGATTTTAGGAAATGGGTAAAAACACACATGTATATGTTTTTTTAATAAAAACAACACACTGATGTTTTAAGCTCAGGCATATAGGCTGCTTAAGTTCATTCCACTCTTGGTGACTTGGCAAGTTTAGGTTTAAGAGGAAATCACTATTTGACACAGGGTGAGGTTAGTTTGGCCAACTTTTTTCTTAATAAATGAAATCAACATTTGAAAGCAGGCTCTCATATTATATTTCTCTAATGTTAACTTTTGTTTAATTTTCTAAAATGTAGCAAAAAAGCAAAACAAAAAAAAATCTGTAAGAAGATAAACACTCAAAGTGCTGCGTCTTAAATCTTGTGAAAGATTTGCTCTGTTTCTCTGTGTCAGCTTTTAAACTGCTGCCGTTTCGTTCCTCTACAGGTCAATGTACGCGTCACCACCATGGACGCTGAGCTGGAGTTCGCCATCCAGCCCAGCACTACGGGCAAGCAGCTGTTTGACCAGGTACAGTGAATGTCCTTTAAGTTTAACCTTTGTCCTAGCTGGAACAGAATGGACTTTCAAATGAGGTGGTGACTTTCAGACTGAAGCCTGTAAATAGAAAGTGGTAATCAGATCAGATGCATTCAGAGAAATGCCATCTGAAAAGACAAATGAGACAGTTGATGTCAGTATTTTGAACTTAAATAACACTTGAATAACATTTATTTTAACTTTTATGTATTAAAGATTAAACTCTCTTGATCTTTTCTGTTTATTTGGGGTTATGGTGACTTCTAAACATGTAAAAAGGAAAGGTGTGTTACATTAGTCCATTGTCACTTTTAAACAATTAAATATAGATTTATGTCTCTTTTTCAGGAATTTAGCTAAAAAAAAAGTCAAATTTCAATCATTTACCTATTTAAGTGGCATGAATGAAAACCCTGTAACTGATAGGCTCAGCAGGCAAACCTCCATGGAAAATCTTTGCATGTACATTGTGCTTCCTGCGTATTTATTGTTTAACACATTACACACGCAGCTATATTAAGCTTCCCTCACCAACTACACTATGTAAAAGTTTCCACAAAGCCATGCTATTATTGGTATGGGTCATGATGCCTTCACAGACATCCCAAAAAAATTTTTTTTTTTTTTTTGATTGCTGAATGGGTCAAGCAAGTTTCTGAAATTCATCTGACTCTGCTCAGCTACCGATTCATCTCTATTGAAAATAAAGTGAGTTATGTCACCAATTTTTCAGGATTTGGAAAATATAATTGAAATTTCAGCTGTCTGTGAACCATCTTGTAACATCTAGCTGAAAAACTCTAAGAAAAGTTTTTCTTAGGGGATGATTTAAATGGTAAAACTGATCAACACAAATAAAAACGTTGAACTTGTAGAGTAGCTTCTCTGATAATTTTTGTTAAATTTCAGCAGTGTACACAGCCTGTTTAAGGCCTTTTCCCCCTCAGTTCAGTGTAGCTTAAAGTTGTGAATATCACTGTTCTGTGGTCAGTTTATTACTATTAATGGTAACTTCCTAGACAATAGTTTGTATTTTCCTTTCGTGGAGTGTTTCTATTGTAAAACTCCGTCGTTTGGATCCAAAAGTAGATGACGAATGATTAATATGAGCTCCACTGTGGCTTCATGACAGGACTAGAGCAGGAAAAAGCATTGTTTTAGCCACTTCCTGTAAAACCCGTTTTTCAATAGCATGTCTAGCAACTGTGGCTGCCAGTTAGGGGATTCTCCCATCATATTTACAAAACCAACAAGGTTATAGTTTGTTTTTGTTTTTTTTGTTTTTTTTCCCCAAGACAGACGAGCTATTAGTCTAATTATAGCTGCTGGTGAGCTTTTCCACCTACCCGTTGAGATTGCTGTGCTGTTCCACAGTTCCCTGTTCCAAAGTCAGAGGTAGTTAAGTGGTCGATTTTGATGCAAAGATCAATCTGCCACTTTGAACACAGGCCTGGAATGGTTTATAACTCGATTGGGTCACGTTGCTGCAGCATCGGACAGGTTCTGTCGGAACGCTGAGTAACAGCAGTGAGCTCATTCTCGGTCTGGTGTGGCCCCTGTGGTCAGCACTGATCACAGCTTTAGTCCCCGTCTTTCAGGTCTTAAAGAGAAACATCTGCCACTCCCCTACACACCCTGCTGCAGTTTCACTTCCATGTGACTTTGCGCTGGTGCTTCTTTTATTATCTGCCGAGCAACATCAATTTCAGCTTAATTAATACGTTTGTTAGCTATTTGTAAAGACCGTCCACAGCAGTATTTCTCCACTGCAAACAAATGTGCGATAAACAGCACAGCACTGTCAGATTTTATGAAATACAAGCTTTTTAAAAAGTACACTTAATTCCACTTTGTATTTGAATTTATGACATCAACATCACAAAAGACAAAAGAATCACACTGATTAACTGACATTATAGGAAAATCCCATTTTGAATTGATTTGATTTTCACATTGTTCTTAAATAATGCTTTTATGCAGTCATGCCAAAAACAAGTACACACAGCTGAAGGAGGGATTTGGTGAAACACAGTGGAGAAACAAGAAGATTATAAATTGACATCTTGAGTTCTGATCAACTGATGTCTGTCGTGATGTCACCAGAAACGTACATTTGGAGGCTTGGCTTTTTTGTGGTGTAGATTTTTATCTCGACTAAATACCATCTTGCAACAAAGTCGCAAAACAAAAAGAGAAACCGTTCATAAGATGTTGTTCGATGGGCGACAAACCAAAATTTATGTCGAATTAAAAGTCTGCCTAGGAGCTTTAAAAGGTTCGAGTGATGAAACAAATCCAGTTTGGTTTATAGGTGCCTGATGCAAAATACCAAACAAATTCAACATGACACCCAACTGCTATGTCAGAGTTGCATTCAAAGTTTGCTGCAAAGTTGTTCTAAATAAAGCAGGAAAAAGTGTGAATTGTAACAGCTCTCATGTTAACATGTTCTTAATTTCACTTATTCTTCATGTTAGTAAACTCACCTTTTTTCACTGTAATAAAAAGGGACTGTTCCTCACCTCAAAGAGCACTCTGTCATCTTTGTGCTTTTTGTCGCTGTTCAACAGCTTGACTCTGTCTGTGAACTCCACCCTTCCCTTCAGTCGGTGGACTTTAGGTTATTCAGTTCAGAGGATGCAGAGTACTGCCACTTCAGTGCAGCAGTGTTCCCTTCTTTCACTGCTGGGCCTAAATCTCATAAGCCAAGAGGAGTCGGCCTCAGTCCTTAAGGGAATGGCTGGAAGACGAGTCTATATCCTTTTGTTACGCCAGCTTTCTGCCATTGTGGTGTGGCAACTTTCACTCTTTTGCCTGAAAGGAGTCTGAGGTAGCTGGTGACTCAGAAGCTGAGAAGGATCCACTTCTTTAAACTGACCACAACGTTTTCAGTGTTTGTTTTTATCATTTCATTTTCATTTTATTTAAATGTTAAATGTATTACTTGTACTGACCAAATTACTGATCACAAAGAGATTCTTGATTCTCATGAGTAAGAATAAGGACAAATATATTTATCGTGCACGTTGGCTAGCTAGCTAGAAAGCTAGCACCTGGTGCTAGAAAGCTAGCTAAGAAGCTAGCTCCTGGTGCTAGAAAGCTAGCTAAGAAGCTAGCTCCTGGTGCTAGAAAGCTAGCTAGCAAGCTAGCTCCTGGTGCTAGAAAGCTAGCTAGCTAAGAAGAAGAAAGAGCTTTCTAGAAGAATATTAGATCAAAATTCTTCTTCTTGGCTAGTAAAAGCTAGCTTGGATGATTGTAATAATCTCTACATTTAGTTTATTTTAATTAAAGAGCTGCTGGTGGAAAGAGATTTTTTTTTTTACTTGCAAATCTGTTTACATTTTGTTATGTAAATATGTCTTGAACTAAGGTTCATGTCTCAGTTTATATATTAAACATATCTAATTATGTTTATTCTTCTAGTACACTAATAGGGTGTTGCCTAACTGAGGAAGATTTATATAAAATTCTGCATTTAACATCTGGTTAAATGTGCTATTTAACCAGGTTAAAATTGGAAACCTGTCCATTTATAAAAGCATAAGCCCTTAACTTATGCTTTTATGTAGATTTCTTTCAGTAATAAATTACTGGGCATCTAAACCTTCAAAAGTCATGAGAACTTGCCAGAACACCTTCCTATTACAGAACAAATGCAATTTGGATTTAAAATGGGTTTATCGCTTCCTTAGGTGAAGCTTGTTTAAGCTATAATGGGACTTAAAAGAAAGTTTTTATTGTAAAACAAAAAACAGATTATGTGTATCTGTGTGGTCGCAAACTGTATCTCTATCTCACTCGGTCATGCCTGAAGCAAACACAACCATGAAAGGCCTGCTTGTTTTTGGAGAATCTCTTTTTTCAGGCGTCTTCCTGATGTTGCATTAAGTACAATCCATTAGGTGCTGCCTGAACTTGAGCCATTTGTCTACTTAGTCCCACATCCCAGTCTGATCCTGTATTTTGTGCACACCACAAACTGTGTGGGAGTTTTTGAGTTTATTTTCATCGTTCTTGGAGCTTATCCTTGGCGCATGCAGCCTCGCCAACATGTTCACTTAAACTTCAGCCAGACATCTTACCACCTCACCTGCTGACTGGGTGGAGATTTTTGGAATAGATGTGTTTAGAAAGGGCTTTGCAAAGGATCGACTGACTTAATAACAGATGCATAGAAGCAAAAATGGAAAAAAAAAAAAAAAAAAAAACCCTTTTCTGGTTAAGAAAAACTTCTGTGCACGCCATAAAGACAGACTCTGGTTTCTCTCAGAAGCCAGTGGAAAATTGTAACTCCTCCCGTAAGAAGTGATTATTCCAAATCTGTAACTGTCTTTTCCCAGAATTAAAAAACTTATTGTAAGGGGGGAAATAAAAAAATGTTAAAACTGCCTATCTTTAAGTATTTCTGTAAGTTTTTCCAATGCGGTTTGACTTGAGACTAACCTAATAATCTGGATTGATGGATACTAATAAAAATTATAAGTCGTTGAAGAGTTTCCATGCCCAGATGCAGACCAGCTGTTTGTCTTCTTGCCTCTTGTCATACTAGTAGGTTGTGTAGATTTGGGTACAAATAATTTATCATCATTAATAAAACTAGTGATTTCGATCAAAATTACTCAATTGAGAAAATTGCCAAATAGTGTAGACTGTTATTATTTATAAAAACCTGCCTGATAAAACCTAGATTTTAAAATGATAGATGAAGGGACTAGTTTAACACAGATGTTACCTGAACAGCAGGACACTACACATGTGTATGGAATGAAATACAAATAACTTCTCTCAAGTATACAAGGGTATATTGACAATAAACTCATGTTTAAAACAATAAAAGGGTAAACGTGCATTAATTTTTCATTGTGTACAGTTAAATGCTTTATTCACCAGGTCTGAATCGGTAATCAGTTAGCTGCAGCGTTGGCTCAGAACGTGGTCGACTCCGCTCAGGTCCAAGAACGGACCACAGCGTTTGTTCAGGGGTTTGTTTGGGGCATTTTCCTACCTCTGGTTTGCGTAGGCAGCAACTCGGAGAAGCTGTGTTTCTCTGTTCTCGAATGAACATCGGCTGCCGTTCTTCTCCCTCGGTGGGGTGGCAGTCGACGTTAGTTTTTTGACAGCAACCTTGGGGAACTTGTAGCTTCACGGTTCCTTCTGCAGAGTTTCGAACAAAACCAGTATGTGGGTTTACTCCTTTGGCTGATCAATGCAATAGAGTCACTTTCGTTTTGGATCCAAAGCTCCTGATCGAGGGGCAGCCTTCCTTCACCAGTGAAGGAAGGGGGTTTTGGGTTGCGGTCTGAGGTCAGAAGAGTAAAACTCCTCCTCTTCCTGCTCCTGGGACTTGAGTTGTATTGTTAAATTGATAGTTATCATACCAGCCCTTCATGGTTGAATGTCTAACACTGTGTTTCTGAAGTTGGAGTACACAACACCAGTCATGCAACACATCCTGGTTTTACAGCATCACTCCCTCCCATTGGTTGAACAATAAAACAGCTTTGTTGAAGCTTAATAACAGAAAAGCATGTGAACAGAAAACACTTCATTTAGAGAGCTGCTGCTTTGCCAGTAAGGGTACCATATAAGTGTCTCGCCTCTCATGCACAATATAGATCACAAAAATTAAAATTAGTAGTAAGGTTTATCAAAAATAAGTAAGTTTATGATCTGTTTTTTTTAGTAATGGCTCATTTCTCTACTCAGCTTTCAGTATTTAGGCCTTGTAATTTAATAAAAACAACAAATTAGCTTGGTGCCTTTTGTACATTTGAGTTGAATTGAGATAATATGCTGAAAAACTTAAATGTGGTTTACTAACTTATTGCTTAGAGGAAGATATTTCGCGTGTTGCCTTTGTTGTGGAAAAAAAAAACAGCTGTATCTCTAGGTATAATCTCTTCCTGCTGTAAAAGTTCTGTCACACATATTGTTTTCCTAAAGCATGGGTTGTGTGCTTTTAGTATTTAGTCTTGTCAACACTGCATGATAAAATACACTGATGTCCCTCTCAAATTCTCCCAAATTTAAAAGGAAATGTTTTTATTAAAAAGATAAGTAGTCTGTTTTGAGGAGTGTATTTTTCTTTAGTTCTTTCATGTTTTTAAATCTGCCTGATCAGTAGCAACTCAACATTTCCTCTTCGATATTTAAATATGACCATATTATTTATTTTGAAGAACATTTTTCATTTATATTTGTGTATATCATTATTTTGTCAAATAATCAGTGATTAAAAAAATATGGAGAGAAAAAAAATGAAATAAAAAAAGTAGTATTTATATTGAAGCCACAACCTATAAACATTTTGCTGTTTTATTTTTATTTAGGTGTTAAAAACCATCGGCGTACGTGAGGTGTGGTACTTCGGACTGCAGTATGTGGACACCAAAGGTTACCCCAACTGGCTAAAACTGGACAAAAAGGTAAGCACATACTTAACAAAAAGAAAGGAAAAAAGAGTATTCTTCATGATATTCAGGTTTTAATGAGTACTAGAATAGAAACGGAAGGATCTCGTGTATAAAGAGACATTTTCAGATAAATGGCTACTTTAGTTTTTGCAACCCTGTGAACTAAAAAAGTGTTTTCAGTGACCTGGTGTCTGCGTTTTAGTAAATCAGTAGCTACCACGCTGCCATGTGTGTATTTTACATATGTAGTCCATGGCAGTTTATTTTCAGTCGCTTCCTGACTGCATGTTATCAGCTGGAGGTAAATTATTTGAACTTTATGTAAGGCATTTTCTTTGTCTTTCCCTTTTGTAAACATTTGTTACCTGGACTACACCAGGTGTTTTTTTTCCCCCCTGAGATATGGATAATCCAACCTAACTAAAGTAAATCAGGCTGTGGATGAAGTAATGTCTGCAAAGACGCAGGACTCCAGATGTTTTGGATATAATTCATCTATTTTAAAGCCAAATAGATCAACTAATGCTTTACTTTATGGAAAATCTCTTAATGGGTAATTCCACTGATTTTTGGAAAGAAGAACCCATATGCAGATGGTTAATATGTGCTTAAAAACTCAATGGAGAGTCTGGCTGTTATGTAATTCAGTAATGTGCCACACAGCTGCAAAAAGTTTGCATTAGTCAGTTTGAGGTTAAAGTCCTCTTTGCAGCACATGCTAACCTCCGTTTGCTAAGTTTAGAAGTTGCCTCTCAGCATTTTACTATCAAAAACGAGGGTCACGGAGAGACGCATAGAAAAAGAGAATGGGTTGTTTGCATCAGTCAGCAGCAGGAAGCTGTTCCCAGGGTGCTAACTGGGCGCTGCAGCTAATCGGCACAATAAAAAGTTCAAACTGGAACATTCCTGGTTTTAAGCCATCAATCAAGAGTGCTTGGTTCCTGTTTTGTATTTAGAGGAAGAAGGACATTGTGAAAATGTTCACTGAGCTGGCAGTTGTGAAAGTTGACTTCCAATGAAAGAGAAGCTAGACTCCTTAATTGATCAGATCAATTAAATACTACAATGATTCAGATGATTTCCAGCTTCTACAGGTAATGAAGTGCCTTACACAAGAGCAACAAGTGTCTGAATAGCTCTTTAGTACATTTTAGGCTTCTTTACTGCAGACACTATTGGATATTCTTCTCCAGTTGTTAATTGAAATCATTCCCACTACTATGTGTCATCATGGTGCGTTTTTGCACATAAAGGTTTACAAGAAGGTCAGGGAGTTATATTTAGGTCTCGTCTGACCAGATCGGTGTCTTCCCACAGATTGCAAGCAGAATCACTTCTAGCTTTTTATGACTGACTGAGCTTTTCAATCCCCTCCAGGTGTCATCTCAAGATGTGAAGAAGGACAACCCACTACAATTCAAGTTTCGGGCCAAGTTCTTCCCTGAGGACGTTTCTGAGGAGCTGATTCAGGAAATCACCCAGAAGCTCTTCTTCCTGCAAGTAAAAGAGGGCATCCTCGGCGACGAGATCTACTGTCCTCCAGAGACGGCAGTCCTGCTGGCCTCCTACGCAGTCCAAGCCAAGTTTGGTGACTACGACAAAGAAGTCCACCGGCCTGGATATCTGGTCAGTGAACGCATGCTGCCTCAGAGGTAAGATGTATGACGTCGTGGTGTGTTTGGGTAGGCCACTTTCCACAATGCTTACACTACTGACATATTGCTAACTCGTTGTTCTGGGCATGTGAGCATGAGCTTTGAAAATCTGAAGGTAGAAAGACTTTTTGGGAGCGCCAGAGAATCTAAAAGGAACGGCAAAGTATTTTTACATCAGTGTTTATAGGCATTGCTACTAAATGGATCTACGTTTGATAAAACGTGATTGTATCAAAATACTATCAACGGGGTAATTACCAAAAAACGTTTTTTACAATGCAGTTGTGTAACAGTAACTTTGGTTATGCAGCACAGCAAATTGTTGGAATTTCTTCCTGATTGCTGTTGAGAGATGTAAATAAGTGTTTTAATTATGTGTGTTTAGAGTCATGGAGCAGCACAAGTTATCCAAAGAACAGTGGGAGGAACGAATCCAGGTGTGGCACGAGGAGCACTCTGGGATGTTGAGGTATTAAACTTGGTTTGTGTTGATCATTTTAAACTTTGCTGCGAGAAATGCAGTGGCTGATTGGGCCGGTCGTTTCCTGATCGCCTTGCAGGGAGGACGCCATGTTGGAGTACCTGAAGATTTCTCAGGACCTGGAAATGTATGGAGTGAACTACTTTGACATCAAGAATAAGAAGGGAACAGAGCTGAGGCTGGGAGTGGACGCACTGGGTCTCAACATTTACGAGAAGGACGACAAGTAAGCATTTTGTTATTTATCAGATTACTTATTCCAAAAGTAAGAATATTTTTGGTATTTCTTTATGTTCTGACTTACAATTTGGTTGTACAAAGCTGAACTTCTTGGCCAGATGCATATTGGGACTGGAATCTCATTTAGTTCGGTTGAATTAGGACTGTATTGTCAAATGGTTGTTTGTCTGTAATCCTTTCAATTCTTAATAGAGTTTTGATATATTTCTGGTTTGAATTAATTAATTTTGATTGTTGATTTCTGGTGTCTTTTTATTAGCAGGTCAAAACTTTACAAAAACAATTTTTGCCATTTCAACATAAGATAAATTATTATAATTCATAATACTTTTAATACTGTTTCTGCTCTGAGTGACCATAATATCTTAATAAAAGGAGCAGATTCAACGTCATACAAAACTCTCTTTACAATTTAGCACAGTAATAATTTTAAATAACTTTTTGTCTGTTTGAACAGATTTAAAGCTTTTTTGTGTATTAGTATTAAGAGTTGAGTACTGTTTTCTAAATCTATTAGAGAAATGTTTGAAATAAATGTAAAAGTATTAGTTTCTTTTTTTCTGAGGAGCAGAAACACAAACGCACACATACTGAATTAAAAAAACAGGTAAATAAAGTCCCCTACTTGACACGATAATGAATCTGAAACACTAAAAATGTTTAAGCCTGAAGCGATCGCTGCATGATTAGGCCTTTGTTGGCTGCATTGCACAGATATTTTATTTGTGGTGGTAATCAGTCTAAAAGTTGTTGGCTCTTTTAGTTTCAGGTTGAGTTGTCACTCTTTATCCTGAATTTTCAGATGGATAAACATTTTTCCTGTCGAAGGTAATTCATAAATTAGATTTTATTCTGTGTGTTCCCATTTATTATCTTAATGCTGTATGAAAGAATGTGTTAATACGCAGCTATCAGTAGTGCAATTATTTAATCGTGGTGGATTATTAGAGCCTTTATTAGTCACGCAGTCATAGTTTCAGTCAGACTTAAGCTGCAGATGTTTCACGACTAAGGCATTCGTCATGATTTTCGCCTGACTCAGGCCGAGCTCTTCCCACTTGAAACACTAAGATAAACTTGCTGAACCAGGTTCACATCTTCCACCAGTCAACACTTACTTTTCCTGTTCGAGAGTAAGAAATGAAAATACTCCCGTTTCGTCTTTGAAGGGTTTCTGGGGCCTACGTGTGTAGATTGCTGCTCACATCCCACAGAGATCTGCTGTTTACGTGCACCTTATTTACAGAGCAGTGCAGTGTGGGGGGATTATCACCCTGTGTATTTGGTGAATTAAATTCAGACAGATCCTGTCCTCTGTGGGATTAGTGGAGCGAAGTGCACCGTGTTAAAGTAGCTCTTCGTCCCAGGTGACTTGCCTTTCAGTCACTGACCTCATGCTGGAAATGCTGCCAGCTCTGCTCGAGATTAGAGTCCATCTTGAATTAAAGTGGCTCCTCTGGTGGCTTTCAGGCCAGCCTGCTGCTGGTGGTGGAAGAAACAAGCGCAGCACATTTTGGTAATGTTAAGGTTAAGCCACCCCGCTGCTTCATGCTAAGAACTTTAATTGAGGCTTCACTGCTTAATTCTTTGTCTTTTTAAATTACTGAGTGCCAGAGTATTTAGGCGGATCCAGTTTGTAATTTGTGACTGTGATTGTAAAGCATTCAGGAACAGGGCCGTGTGTGCATACGTGTGCGCGCGTGTGTGTGTGTGTGTGTTTCTGAATGTCTCGTCCTGATCAGCAAAGAAAGGCCTCTCCTCTGCGCTGCCCTCTGCTGTAACCATGCCGACGCCGACTGGTTTTTCAAGCTTTGCGGCACTTAAGAATGTGAGGCTGAACTGTGTAGCACAGTCTCTCCCAATGAGGGCAACCGACCCACAATGCAACAGTGCAGCCAAGTCTTCACTGAGGTGCAGCCTGGAGCAAAAGGCTTAACTCCTTCTGCTCCTGAAGCGCATAAAAAATTAATTCTGCTTTATAAATCAAAACCTGCAGAGATTAATATTAAGAGATTAATTACTTGTAGTTCTTTTGAATGCTTGCAAACAATTTCTCATGATTTGTAAATCTTGGCATTTTTAAGGATGGGAAAGTTAGTCGAATCCTAAGATAAGATCTTAAACATTCTTTGAACATATTTGTGTTTAAAAAAAAAATACATATACAGCACAAAACAAACGGCTTAAAGGACCATACTTTAGTTTTTTTATTTTGAAGGAGGCATTAGATTCTCAGGGTACGATGACCCTTATTTTTTTAACAGCATCTTTTTATTAGTTTGTTGTCCTTTGAGAACTTTATAACAAATCTAATATTTAAATTTTATTTTAAATGAAAAATTATTATTCCAGTAGTAATGTGAAAATGTATGAGTGACTGGCAGTGCACAGCAACAAGTGGAGGAGGGGCACTACTGTGTTACTCTATAGGCATATCATAGCAGTTTTTTTTTTTTCCTGTACTTGTTACCTTTTTATAACTACTTTTTCTCATCTGGTCTAAAATCTGACTGTTTAGCTGGGATATTTTGCTGACTCCAAGCAGCAGGAGTGAAAGCATTAATCAATCAAGTTTATTTGTACAGCACATTTCAGCAACAAGGCAGTTCAAAGTGCTTTAAATCATAAAAATATAATTTTGTCAACAATTGTGAGAACCGGTAACATTAATCATTATATTAACAACTGAATAATTTTTAACTTTCATCTTGGAACATTAAATCTGTAAATCTTCCAAATGTACAGAGAGTCTGCAATTTAAATAATGTATTTTAAATAAAATCTGTTAAGCACTGGTACGCAGGTTGCTGGGTTTGCAAACAAAAATACTGAAATTGATTAAATGTAACAGAAACTTTGATCTGTAAAGAAGAACAAACTGGAGATGACTGAAACAAAACTTCAAGTAAAAAATGCTTACTGGTTGTATCGATAAAAGCCTTGCCTTTTAAGTTCAGGGTGCATCCAGTAAGTCTTACCCTGTTGCCAGGGATATTTTCTGAGGTAGATTTTTACCACTTTGATCTGATTTTGTCCTTGTTTCTGCACTCAACGTGACAGAAACCATCCTGCTCCTGTAAAAGCTGGAGAAAGTTTTCTTTCAACCGTAGCTATTCCTGGTATCAGTTTAACTCTACATTTACTTCCACAGTGCGAAATTATACTCCTTCAATAAACACTGAAGTTTGCCGTGCCTGTTTTAACCGAGCACCTCTGCTTGAACTGCATTTTATATTATTCTTAAAATTAGTCATATCTGCATTCTAACACCCATATATCTAAAGAATGTTACTGATTGACACAAATCTTTTTTTTTTTTTTTTTAACAAATGCCAGTTCTCCGATTGATAGAGCACATCTAATAAACCACACGGCTCCGATGGAAATATTCGGCAGATAACAGCACATTGTTTTCCTCAATTCCACAAGCATGTGTCAGGGTCAGCGATGGAGTGAAATTCCTGTTCAGGGAGTTTCATGGCAGCAAGTTTTGGCTGCCATGCTCAGCTGCCGCTTTAACAGATTACAGCGCTATCGCCTCGGCCCTGTTGACAGCGCCGCTCGGCATTGTGTGGAGCGAGACGGGCAGCGACTCAGTTCGCTGGGACAACAGAGCAGAGAGCCGCCACACCCCAGATTTATCCCCTGATCCGGGAGATTAGACTGACAAAGCGGTTTGTAGCCGTGGACTGATTTGATTTTAGGGAAGTAACTAGAAGAATTGTTAGTTTTTATCTCTGCATGTGGATGACCTGATGGATCCATTATGATAGCAGTGTGTCCCATTTATTGTTCTTGAGGTGCAGCTACTTAAACATGCCAATGTTCAACAACTGAACTCATCTAGACTGTGAATTTTTAAACCATGCTCGCTTAACACTAAGAGGCCCAGAGGTGAATAGTGGTTTAGCAGACATATTTTTCATTTGCAAGAGATTTAAGCCATCTGAAATCTTAATCATCTAATAATCAAGACGGAAACCTTTAATTTCCAGTTCTTGACTGTAGGAATTTGGTGATCTGAACTTAAAAATGTATTATTTATTGTGATAGTTATAAAAGTCAATAAAGTACTTACTACTTCTTTCCAGTCTTTCTAAGCAACTGAATGGCTATGGCTGCATGTCACAGTTCAACAAACACAACTGTGAAGTATTCTTCTATAGCACACGGTTACATAAAGAAGTTTGATCTGTTAAGCCATATTATCAATTTATTGTTGTTTATTGATGCTCTTATGAAAAATTTCAACCATTCTGGTGATTTTTTTATTTTTTCTAAATGATACAATAAACGCCCATCCCAGCTTGACTGACTGCGCGCACCCTCATATTCTATTTCCTCATCTCAAATTTTGTACAGAGTGTAAACAGATAGGATCATATTCCAGAAATTTTACCATATTGTTTTTCACCGACCTCTCTGTAATGGTGATATGCCAAAAATAACTATTTAAACTTCAAGAAGGTGGACATTGTTATAAATGGGACGACGGCATCGTCTGACTTTTCTGACATGCTATTAAAAAAATACAAAAGGTTCTTTTTTGTTTATGTATTCATTTGCAATAATTTATTTGATTTCTTCTTCAGATTGACGCCAAAGATTGGCTTCCCCTGGAGCGAGATCAGAAACATTTCCTTCAACGACAAGAAGTTCATCATCAAGCCTATAGACAAAAAATCTCCAGTGAGTAAAATGTCATTAGCATCGGTTTTACTTTAAATTTTCAACATTGGAATCTGCTTTTTTTTTTACATCACTTTGTACAATTCCCTCATCTAAAGAGCTTTTGGTATAATCTAAGTAGTGATGTAAGATTGATCTAATTTTTCTCAATTTCTTTCCTCCCCAAATTTTCAGGACTTTGTGTTTTATGCCCCGAGACTGAGGATCAACAAAAGCATCCTGCACCTGTGCATGGGCAACCATGACCTCTACATGCGTCGTCGCAAGCCCGACACAATCGAGGTGCAGCAGATGAAGGCTCAGGCCATGGAGGAGAAGCAGATGAAGCAGAAGGAGAGGTAGACGAGCTTGAATGAATGAATGAAGGAAGGAATATACTTTATAAATCCTTTTTTTTAATCCTGAAAAAAATCTGACTTTAGGATTGGGCAAAAACTGAATCATTTCTGGTTTGATTAAAGCTTTTAATATTAGTTGTATATTTAAGTAAATTAAGGGTCGTTAGTAGGATGTAATTGGATTATCTTCACTGATTCATGTATTAATTTTAAGTTGAACAGTTTAAAATGTACTAGATGTCCTGTCTGCTTTCTGACTAAATCAAGCAGCAGGATTAGCAACATGGTTGGAGTTAGCGCATTAGCTTCCACCACATGCTGTTTTTCTAGTGCTTTAGTGCAACTAATGTTTATGATTTGTGCTTTAGGGTTAACACACCTACAACACACCTCCAAATTGGAACCTAAATTCCTCTCCAAATGTAGAAACACTGAACAGAGGAAACATGACCGTGGTCTCGGCCGCAGCTGTCGGCTTGCGGTCTGTCCACACAGCTGTTTAAACATCATGATGTAAAGCAACACAGATTGGACAATGATATTCAAAAGGAAAACCATGAAAGACAAGAGGACTGGTTCTCATACAGTAGCTCTCAGCAGGTTTGGCTGCTGGGAAACGTTGGAAGAAAGTTCAGGAAGAGTTGCTTTAAAACATACAGGGAGATAACAGCTGTTGCTGAAGAAATGGGGAGCTGAAATAATTCGAAACCTGGAAAGCAGAAGTAGTAGGTTTTGTGTTATCAAATATTTATGGTGCGTATAACAAGCATTATAAAGATCTTTGTTGGGAAATGCTGCTTAAAGCTTTTAAGATGGTTTCTCTTGACAATGTTCCAGAAATAATTTTTCTTTGTCATAAAAAACATGACATGAGACATATTTTCGCAAAGTAGAACCGAAACATTGAATATTTGTCAAAATTATTTGACTGTGAAGCTGAATAATCAACTAGGATGTTCATGAAGCAGATCATTTTTTTGTGCTCAAAACATTAAAAAGTTTGCATATTAGCATGCATTTCTAGAACCATTCGCTAACAGACAGCACAGCCTTTTGAGCCAAATCTATCTTCAAAATAATATAATTATACTTTATGCCTCAAGCCAAATTATTAAACTGTAAATAAGAATATTATACAGATGCAATATTAGCTAATTAAACCTGCTGCATAGTCCTGATTAGAGTACATCATGCTGCTTTTTAGGAGCAATTTCTCTGCATACTTTGGCATCCCGTCATAAACCGTACCGTCATTTTTATGGGAACTGTGTCGCCAGACGACTGTAAACTGACATGAACCTCTGTGGAAAGCAAATATTATTTACATGAGGATTATTTTAGACTTCGTAGCCACAAAAGATGCAGGGATGGATACCTATTTTTAGCTTCTGTATTTTGTCACCATCACAATGTAGCTTACTTTTTGATGGACCAGAAAAGAATAGTTCATAACTGTGAAGTGGAATGAAAAGGATATTTTTCACATTATTTTACAAATTATGTTAGGAAAAGTGCATTTATAATCAGCTCATGTCACCCTGATGCCCTTTGGTAAATAAAAGTAGAGCATGTAATTTATTAGCATTCGTAGCTTCCTCCAGGTTTTCTTTATGAGCTCTCTGTTCTGTCTCCAGGGCTCATTTGGAGAATGAGAAGAAGAAAAGGGAAGCCATCGAGAGGGAGAAGGAGCAGATGGAGCAGGAGAAGCAGCAACTCATGATGAGGCTCTACCAGTTCGAGGAGAAGACTAAGAAGGCAGAGAAAGGTGGGTTAAAGGGGTCTGTGGCTCATCAATCGTCTCCTATAACCTATGATGGGATATAAAGACTCTGTCTGCTGGAAATAGTTGAAATGACGGCACACTTGTAATTCTGCATGCGTGTACTGTAAACACCAGGCCAACAGGTTATTCTGTTTGTGTCGGTAACTTCTTGTATAAATACCAGCGTGAAGAAAGTGCCGTCAGATTTACACGTTGTTCCTCTTTATGTTATTTAATTCATAAAACGTGATCATTTTAGATTTAACTGTTCGTTATTGTGTCACAAATTGATCAAGAACAAGATATTCGTTGGTTTTCATCTCGGTTTGACTAGAGGGAGAAGATGTCCCACTTCTCTTGTTGTTGGCACAGGCTCATCAGATCTGTATGTGACTCCCTGTTTTTGTTTCCTGCTCATAAAGCAGCTCATAAAAACTAATAATTACTTTCAACTTTTATCTAGGCCAAGGGGTAATTTGACTTCCCACTGTGGGAAATCCACTGGTTGTAACTGGTGTTTATCCAGACCAGGGTCCAATCCTGACGGGTCGGTGTCTTGCAGTTTTTAGATTTTTTTTCCCCCTGGTCTGACGACCTGAATCAAACCACTTTTTTATTTTTTTATTTATGTAAAGAAACACAAATGCTTTTTTCACTTTTGTTTACATGATCAGCATCAGCCAGTGGCTGGAGTCGAGACTGCTTTGGTCTTTATTTTGAGTTTGTATTTGAATAATAAACTTTAAATATTTTTTTTTGGTGTAATATAGTGCAGAACTTTTGAAATAAAGACGAAGCACAAATCAAATTAGGGATCAATCTATTTGATACTATTTACTGTATTTTTTAAAGTCAAATTTAACTTTTACAAATACAAATAACTAACGTTTTTATTATATTAATCATCAGGGATGTTTTGAAAATGCTTTGACAGCTGATGAGTTGATCACTGCCATATAACCTGTTCTGTTTTCTGAATAGAAACGTGATTTAGAGAGTCTGATAAACATTACATGACCATTTGTTTTATTTTTACATCCTATTTAATTAGTGACAACTGGCCTAAATGTTGATTATTACCGCAATCAATGGAATAAAGTAAAACATTTTCTGATTAGGCATCTCCATAATTTATTGTAAATCCATAACTACCAGGAGATGCGCAGCCATATGCAACATTTCTGTTTGTGGGTATGAAATGGTTTGTTTATGCAAACAAAATGCAAGTAGCCTGAGGTTAATGGCGACACCCTGAGCATAAACTGGTGAACGTGCATATTGAGCCAGAACCTCAGATGAAGCTACTTTAATTCAACTAAGACTGCGATGTATGCAAACTATTTGAAGATATATTTCTTATTCCATATTTACAACAATCACAAAGCTTAACACACATACGATCAAGCTACGAAGAAATGAAAACGGTGTTGTTAAGATGACAGTCATGCTCCAATAAAACATGACTTGATTAAATGTTTACTATTCTATAATGAAGGTACGGATATACTTAAACTGATATGAGAGGAAATTAAACGACATGTTCTGATAAACTTATCTTCCACTGTTGAGGAAAACAAAGTCACAGTTAGAACATCAAGTTTAATATTTTACTTTACTGATGTTCATAAAAAGAAAGAAAAACTATGTAACTATGCAAAACTTGTAAGCTGCCTTGAATATAAAATGTATTAATCCGCACCTGAAAGTAGTCCCCAACAAATGCTGAGATTGCTACATATAATGTTTCCAGTTTGTAAAGGTTAAAGTGTATCGGCAATAGATTAATGTCTGGAACAAGTAAAGTGGAAAACTTTTAAATTAAGTGGTATAGTATGTTTTCAAATGACCTACATTTACATCTTTAGTTTAAGTTGTTTAATATGTGTGACTGTTTTTCTGACACTAATCCAGTTTCTGTTGATGCAATTTAAATATATTTTTTTACTTTGTCAAGTATCTGTCACATTTATTGTAAAAAAAAATTAAAAAATTCCAGATTTGATAAGATGTGGCTTAAAAACAGGGATCTCGGTAGTGTACAAAGACCATGGTTAAGCTCACAATTTAACGTGATAATTTGTTGCAGTCACTGGCTAAAGTTGAACTATACCAACTTAAGTTGACAAATTATATTTATTTATTAAATAAGGAAGCCAAATATAAATTTTAAGTAAATGCAGATGTCCATAATTGTGAAAAAAAGCTTTTAAAAATGTAACTTGAAGAAAGTAAGTCTTTGATTTGAAATTTCCTGTCACTCCAAAATCTTCCCTCATGTGAGATTAAGTGCATAAAGCTGTCCCTCCTCTGCCTGTTAGACTTGCAGGACCAGCTTCAGAGAGCCATGATGCTGGAGCAGGAGAGGAGGAGGGCGGAGGAGGAGGCTGCGCGTCTGGAGGCAGAACGCCAGGCTGCCCTGCTGGCTAAAGAGGAGCTGGCCCGCCAGGCTGAGAGTCAGCTGAAGACCCAGGAGCAGCTGGTTGGTGCTTTAATGACACCACGCTTTGATTTAAAGGGGACCTATTATGCAAAATTCAATGCAGAGATTTGTTTTGCCTTGTAAGCTCCAACAAAGACTAGTCCCCCAATCTAGCAGTAAGCTTTGGGGCATTTTCCTACCATATCCCAGGATGCAATCCTTGAAACATGACAGAGTTTAATGGTGCACCTGTGGTAGTGTTCAAGTAAACAATTCTCTAAAGAAATACTTGCGAAGCTGGAGCAAACTTTGAACAGCTGTAAATTGTTGACAACCTCTTGAACAAGACTGACCCTCCAGCTCACACAACATGTTTGGAGGGTCAAGCAGAAAAACAAGGTGAGCATTCCTCTACTTGCTCCAGATCTCGTACCGACTGGACCTGAAGCATTTAGGAGGTTTGGTCAGATGATGATCCACTTTCGCTGAATTTTCTTTGAAGAAACCAGTGTTGCTTCACTGTGGGAAACAATAAGACAGACAGAGCAGCGACAGAAACTATTTAATGCTGATCTCACTTTGCTGCGTTTAAAAAAAAAAAACAAACAAACAAAAAAAACAAAAACAAGCTCAGCTTGTCTGAAGGAATGCGTTGCAACACCTGCAGGGTCGGGCACTTCTTCAGTGCGCAGCGTGCTTTTCCACTTCTGTCTCCGCTTTTAAAGTGATGCCAACATTCAGGACTGTGGTTTACTCCTGCGTAAACCACAGACATGTCGTATAGAAAAATCTTAAAATTTGATGTTAAAGGTAGAGGGGGTCTGACTAATCTGTTATTTAAATTTACAGGCATTGAAGCTGTTTATACTTAAGATTTTAAGTGAAATACAAATAACTGACTACATTCAGTTATTTCTCGCCAAAGAAACGTCTCATCTATGACAAGAATTATTCCTTTTTTTTTCTGAACTGCTGCTAAACATCCATCTGTTTGAATTTGATTTGCATATTAATAAAATCTGTCCTGTTTTCAGGCTTCTGAGCTGGCGGAGCACTCGGCCAAGATCGCGCTGCTGGAGGAGGCGAGAAGACGCAAGGAGGAGGAGGCTCGCACATGGCAGAACAGGGTGAGAGTTTGAACTGAAATGTGTAGCTCTCTACTTCCTGTCGCAGTAGATAAATGTAGAACATCACAGCACTGTGAGTCAGCTCGAATCGAAAAAGGAGGAGACAGATGAAGATGTACTTGACCCCTTTTGTGTTGTTCAGGCCGTAGAGGCTCAAGACGATCTGACTAAGACCAAGGAGGAGCTGCACATGGTGCTGACTGCGCCCCTGCCTCCACCACCTCCTCCCGCATACAACCACCGGGATGACAACAGCGACAGCGAGGACAACAACAGCACGCACAGCACCGACCTGGCGATAGACGACTTCCACGACCACCGCAAGGAGGAGGAGCGTCTGACTGAAGTCGAGAAGAACGAGCGCGTCCAGAAGCAGCTCAAGGTGAGGGGGGAAAAAAAACCCAGAACAAATCAGACAGGAACAAAATCAACAAACTAAAATTTATGTAGATTTATGCTATGGCAGTGTTTCTTACCATGGACTTAAAAAATTAATATTCATGAAGCTGGCATATTAATGATGTCTCTCTGTATTAATTAATGTGTGAAAAAAGTCTAATAGTCTGACATAATGGCGCTTTTAATATAAAATACACAGCCTTAATTAAACCTTTATATACAATATTCAAGAGACAATTTTAAATGGTTTATTTGTTTAATACTATCTAACAAAAAGGCACTTTACATCACATTTTTTTGCGTGTCCAATTTAACCAAAACCAGTCTGCTGTTGGTGTTGGACCTCAGCCCACCATTTCATCAGGGTCAAGGTTATTAAAAAAAGAAGTGAAATCAGACCAGTAATTACACTTTCAACATTATTTAGTCACCTCAAATGTAAAGGAACAATGCAACTGTAACAAACTTGAAATAAAATCTTGACTTCTTTGTTCTCATTGAATATTAAAATTCAAGCTTAAAATATATTGAGGGATTTCAGAAGATGGGATCCATTAGACTCCAAGAGCTTTTTGCTCTGTGCATGGTCCAGTGGGGTCACACGGACCCCGCGTGCGCTTGTACGAGGGTCTTTTGTGTGGATAAACTCACTGCTTCCTTGCTGTCCAACCGTGGCATTTGCTGTGCTTCTGATGAGCGTGGTGTTAAAACCGCAGGAGGGTTAATGTTGTATATTCTTGTTTCACCTTATCTGATTTTGCACCCGCAATGGAAACTACAAGGGTTATAAAATGCTCCTACGAAACCGGTCAGGTTTTTTTTTTTTTTTTTTTTAAAAGGTTCCTATTGTAAAAAATTCAAATTTTAGGGATTTTTTTTTTCTCTGCAAACTTGCAAAAGACTATTCTTGGATTCTTTGATATATTTTACTCTGCATGAGCTCTAGTGAGTTGTACATCCACTGACCTGTGTCCCATATTACAACTCTGTGGACCAAGCATGTTGGACCAAAGTGCCTCAGGATTTTTTTGGGACAAATTAAGTTATTGCAACATTGAATTTGTCTATATAACACCAGTGTAAAAAATACTTTTGTTTAAAATCCCTCAAGAAATGAATACTGACAAAGCATTCAAGAAAAAACATCACAATGTGGTGACTTTTAATGTGAACTTTTTGAACATATAGAAGAGGATGTTTATTAAATGCAGTTTGCTCCATATTTTTCTCACATTTCTCCCTTCTCTCTATAGACCCTGACCTCAGAGCTGGCTCAGGCCCGTGACGAGTCCAAGAACACCCAGAACGATCTCCTCCACAGCGAGAACGTGCGCGCCGGCCGAGACAAATACAAGACCTTGCGACAGATCCGGCAGGGCAACACCAAGCAGAGGATCGACGAGTTTGAGGCCTTATAAGACGCCGTTGCCGTTCGAGTGCACGCCCTTTCTGAATGGTCACTATTCCTCTTGATTTGCTGCTGAGACACACACACACAAATTCCTCTTCTCACCCACCCAAAGACATGTTTAACATGCGCTGGTAGCCGACTAAACTGAAGCAGCAGAAGACTGGGAGGACGCAGCGCTCTGCACAACCTTAGTGCCAAAATCTTCTGTCCTTTCCCTTGTTATAGTGTTTTGAATATTGTCACTTTTTTTGATGGAGTCAGGCCAAAATAATTGTTTTTCACTGGAGGTTTAATGAAGTAGTGGGAATCTTGTTGTAATGCACCTAGTAATCAAACCGTTGGAAGAAAAGGCCTTGTTGTCCATAGCGACCACTCAGAAAGGGGGAGACAGTATACGCAGGAAAATTGATCTTTATTTTCCATTATATTTGAACACTTCCAGTTATGTTTATTTTTGCTCTAAAGACAAAATCATAGTTTGATATTTATACTGTATATGGGACATAAAGGGTATTTCGTCTTGGTTTGTATATTTTTGCTATCTACTAAAAATAAAACTTTTAATTTTTCAGAGGTTTTATATATTGACCCAAATAACAGCCTAGTCTTATGTTCCATATGTTTTCCCTTAGATCACTTAACTAAACTAAATTTTTAATTTCATTGTAGGAGATCTCCAGTTGCATACAGACAAAATAAATTTAGATGAACTTTCCAATTTCTTTTCATTAGATGTGCAGATCATTCAGAGCAACATGTTGAATAAAAATGAAGCTTTGTATTTCTATCAGTTTGTTCAATGTCACATTGTTACAGTAAAAGAAGCACATGTTGAGGATTTTTACCCTCTAAAGTGGCCTTTCTGTCTGGTCACTCACACAGTTACAATGACATGTGGAGGTTTGTTTTTAAAGTTGGATTTCTCGCCAAACTCTTGGACTAAAGTAGCATTTACTAAAATGGTCATGCAGAAACGCTTGGCTATGCTGGGAATTTGTATATAACCAGGATTTTATAATGAGGTTGAACATATTCCCAATAAATTGACTTGATTCGTCACCTCTGTGTGTTTATTGCAGGATTATAAGTTTTTGAAATGAGCATGCATGTGGGGCATAGAGGGAAAGTGTTGGAGAGAATCTCCGGTAACTTGCATTTTGCTCCATACGGAATAAAAAGCAAACATTCGCTGTAAGGTCACTTCCATAGCAGGGTGTTCCCAGATGTCAGTGGAGCCTTGTGGATTTTATTTGTATTTGATATTATCGGTCTGCTTCTTGCTACTCAAATGTTTTCTTTTGTTAAATGACATTTGTTGCCTTACAAAAGGCGATTAAAATTAAAAGTTAAAGCACCAAGAAGGAAAAAGTTTTTGTATTTAGATTTTTTTTCTTCATAGTGTTAAAGTTGACGTATTGCAACAATTTTCTTTTATAAACCTTAATGATTTATATTTCATCAAATATCTCTTACATGGGATGTTGGGTCTTGATTGATATTAAATTTCAAATTGTCAAAAGTGATAAATCCAGTTTATTTTGATCTTCTAAATACCTAAAATAGATTATTTTTTTAAAGTTCATAAACATTCAGAACAGTTGAAGAAATTGCATTATATGCAATAAAATGCAACAAGTCACATATAAAATTAAGCTTCAACTAGAATATTTTTATAAGTCAGTGTAAGAAAAAAGACAAAAATGGTGAAGTTATGTGATATTTGAATTTATAAGACTTTTATTGGAATGTAGGTCAAAACGTCTTTACAGGTAGAGAAGTTTTCTGACTTGGTTTTTATCCCAGCAGCAGTATGATTATGTCATATTACTGCAGTGCATCAGTAAGCAGGTTGTCATACAATTAGAAATAAATACATAAACAAATGGTAACATAAATTAAAAGCATTATGAATAAAAGATAGTTGTGACAAAATGAACATACAGAATAAAGTGCCCAGTAGTTTAAATAATACTAACAATAATAAAACTTAGTCTGAGTGATGTTGAGTATCGCCAGGTTTTCTTTCTCTTTGCAAAAGAGTCAAGTGAAGTCGGGCAGTTTTCCAGTTGCCATGGCGACTCATGAAAAATACTGTGTCATCGTCTGCAGCTCTCCTTCCAGAGCAACAGCGTGCCAAAGCCTTGAAACCAGAGGAAGTCTCTCACATGCTCCGATACAAGAAAGGCATCATTGTGCAGGACGAAATGCTGAAGAGCCAGCCGGGCCCACTGGTCCTGCTGAAAAAACCACCTGCTGCGATCCGGCGGCCGTCGCTCCAGGTTACGTTTGTCAGACGTGTCAGTGCTTTCAGATCATCTCGTTTGAGATGCAGAGTTCAAAATCGTCATGTAGAAGGACTAAAGATTAACCAGGGATCTGAATCTGAAAGGCAGCAACACTTTACTTTAAACCGCTACGTTTATAAGCACTAAATAGTTTGGTGACTTAAAGCAGGTCCGTTTTTTTTACGGCATGAATTGTGAATTAAAACTAAATTAATGATCATTTAAAAGTTGTTCTAATGTAAATGGGATTCATGAATAAATCTCCTTTGCTGTGTTATTTTAAAGCCTACTTTATTTAACATGTAATCTACTGTTAGGCAAAAGTGCCAGCTCTGTTTGAAGATGTGATGAATGTTGATTTTGAAGGTAACGACAGAAACGCGTTGGCCAAAAGGATGCAGAGTTCACATAGTTAAGAGTCTTCCTTCCTTTTGGAGAGCGTCCAAAAGGAAGACATTAACAGTGAATTATTGTGTGTAAATAAACAAAGATACTCAAACTCAAAATGTACTATTTTCATGATTAAAGGTTGGAATATTCTAGATGTCACAAATAATCTTAAGAAGCAAAATATTTTTAGATTAAAATGTTAATTTTAGATAGATTTAATCATAAATTACTGACTGTAGTAGAAAAAAATACCTAAAAACATCAATGCACCAACTATATTTACAAAATACAGTTAATATCCTCCTATATTTTGCAGATTATCTAACTGAAGAACTTTTAGTTTTTGTTAAATATGGATTGTCTAAAAATTAATTCACATTTGTCTGAAATCCTTTCAGTTTCACTTCCAGCTGTAATTGACTGGCTTGGTCCAGTCAATTGGTATTAAAGCCTTTGCAAACTTCAGACAAGTTAACAGAGAAAGACCACATATTTAATTTATGAGTAGACTTTATGCGCTGATATTTATAAATGTTTTTCCAGGGGAAAACCCAGATTTCCCTAACATATTATTAAGATTAAGTTTAACGTAAAGTGTTGCTGCAGATGTTTGAAAACAGACGTCTGCTGTTATTAGAGTACATCCAATCCTCCTCCAGGTGAAGCTTTGGCCTCTTTGTCTCCCCCTAAACAAATCACACAGACTCGTGAGTATCAACATAAACACATGATAACACATATTATTAAATCCCTCCTCTTGAATTCACACCAGAACACACAGAACACACCCCACCAGCCTGCAAACTTTAAAGAGCACACACACACACACACACACGCGCACATTTAGATTATTTACACACTCTGACGTGGGTGTACAGAGCAGTGTTTACATTGTGGGGAGGGAGTCTGACGTCTCTGATAAGGCCTGTTAGTTGATCGTTGCTTGGTGGGACATGAACCTGACCACACGGTTCTCATAATGAGGCGGTTTACTGACATCTAGTGGCCAAAAGAGAGAACTGAGAGATCAGGTATGCTGATGGGGTTTTTATTACTCCACTTTTTAAACGGTATGGAGATTGTGAATTATTATTTTTTTCTTAATGTGTGGAAAGCGTTGGTTCTCCCACGTAGCAAACCAAACCTCATTACCACCATATCTAATCTTTACAGTGTGGTGTCTCATTTGCAGTGCAGACAGGAAAAGTATCATAAAACCTAATCTTTTTGCAGGATACGTGTACACATATTTAAAAAACAGGAAATAAGGTTTGCACTAAAAGTAAGACAGATAAACTCACCATGATAGTAGGAGGCTCAGTGTCCATTGTGCTCTGCTGTTCCAATCTCAGTCTGATAAAAACAGAAAAACACCAGGATTAACTTCAAAAGAAAAATCCTTCACAGCTCCACCAAACAGAGAATGGAAACATGTAACAGAAAATATTAATAAATGCTTGATTGATCAAAGACCTCATACAATCTGAAAGTTGCAACTTAATGCTGAAACAAGGCAGCAACTCAATGTTATGTGACACTAATTTCCACAGTTTACTGCCAGTACTTTGGGTTATTGCAAAGAGTGGATGAATTAATAAAGAAGGAGGATAAACAAAATTCAAAATTCTTCCAATTCATCACAGATCTGTGTTCAAATAGGACAGTTATCAATCCGTCTTTTTTAACAGCCACAACCTAAAACCCTATTGAAAATTTAACACTGATGCCACAATTTCTGACAAGAAGAGTGTTTAAATAAACAAACATTAATATAACAGAATTTAATTGACTACTACAAAAAAAAAAAAAGAAGTAGCAGAGGTGCAACTTTCTAAGGGACATTTAACCAAATATTAGTTTGCATTTCTGTATATTTTTGATTAACTTGTCCTTTCAATTCTTGTCTTTCAATATTGACGTGGTTAAAACATTTCATGAAGAGATTTTGTTCAAACTTTATGTTGTTATAAAACATGCTAAATCATAACTACTGGATGATATTTCAGTGCTTCTGTCCCTGTTTGAAGCCAAAACGCCCCGTACCTTCGGACACAGCGGGTACCAGTAGAGGCCTTGGAAGGTGCTGTTCTCTTGTCTCCAGCCGTCCAGAGGAAGCAGCACCTCACCCAGAAACACTTTCTTTTTCAGTGGCCCTGAATGCCAAACAGATGCCTGCAGTCTCTTTCCAAACAGCAGATGGCGCTCTATATTATACTATAAGAAAACATTAAAAAAAGTCAAACTTACAATAGAAAAGAACTGCACTCATATCTAGCAACAAGTATTTTATGCTCCTTATCGATTACTTATGGCCCTTAAACACTTTTAACCTTAAATATACCAATCAGTTAGCTGCTATTAATGTCAATTAACTATGTAATAGATATATGAGGGGTCATAATTAGATCACAAATCGCTTTTTGACAGAAAA